ATGGTTGCACCTCCCTGGATGATTGTACCTCCCTGTATGGTTGCACCTCCCTGTATGGTTGCACCTCCCTGTATGATTGCACCTCCCTGGATGGTTGTACCTCTCTGTATGGTTGCACCTCCCTGTATGGTTGCACCTCCCTGTATGGTTGCACCTCCCTGGATGATTGTACCTCTCTGTATGGTTGCACCTCCCTGTATGGTTGCACCTCCCTGGATGGTTGTACCTCTCTGTATGGTTGCACCTCCCTGTATGGTTGTACCTCCCTGTATGGTTGTACCTCCCTGGATGGTTGTACCTCTCTGTATGGTTGCACCTCCCTGTATGGTTGTACCTCCCTGTATGGTTGTACCTCCCTGTATGGTTGTACCTCCCTGTATGGTTGTACCTCCCTGTATGGTTGTACCTCCCTGTATGGTTGTACCTCCCTGTATGGTTGTACCTCCCTGTATGGTTGTACCTCCCTGTATGGTTGTACCTCCCTGTATGGTTGCACCTCCCTGTATGGTTGTACCTCCCTGTATGGTTGTACCTCCCTGTATGGTTGTACCTCCCTGTATGGTTGTACCTCCCTGTATGGTTGTACCTCCCTGTATGGTTGTACCTCCCTGTATGGTTGCACCTCCCTGTATGGTTGCACCTCCCTGTATGGTTGCACCTCCCTGTATGGTTGCACCTCCCTGTATGGTTGTACCTCCCTGTATGGTTGCACCTCCCTGTATGGTTGCACCTCCCTGTATGGTTGTACCTCCCTGTATGGTTGCACCTCCCTGGATAGTTGTGCCTCCCTGGATGGTTGTTGTCCTATGCGCTTGTTATGAATCACAATGTTCATCCCTCTACTGCCTTTTCAATATCCGTCTATACGATGGATTCATTTTCTTCCCAGTGCCTCTAATTTTTGTAGATGAATGGTTCAGAGAACCGACATGTTGTTGTAGTAGCTTGAGGAGACTAGAAGAAAATACAGGCGTAGAGCTATAGAGCTAATTTTTTTGTGGAAAGTATTTCAGTCTTTGTAGATCTTCTATCAAGTTAATGAGCGAAATTTTGTCACAACATAAACTTGCTCTGACACCTGTTGACGTTATTGCCGTCAGCAGTACGTTGCTTTATCCACGTCTGTGTCTTTCTGTGCAATTAGTAAATTGCCAGTGTGGCTTAGTTATATTATAGTCATTAGGAAGGCAATTGCTTGTCAAAAAATATAATTATGAATGCTAAATTTATTCACTTAAAAGCCCACAAATGTAATAATAATAATAATAATAATAATAATAATAATAATAATAATAATAATAATAATTAAAAGTTGGTATTAGTTTTGTGAGGGAGTGTGAAGTAGGAGTTAGAGGAAAGAGCTGGATGGAGGGAGCTAGTAGGAGGGAGGTAAGGATGGAGGGTAGGAGGGAGGTAAGGATGGAGGGTAGGAGGGAGGTAAGGATGGAGGGTAGGAGGGAGGTAAGGATGGAGGGTAGGAGGGAGGTAAGGATGGAGGGTAGGAGGGAGAGAGGAGCAATCCATCCATCACTTGAGACAAGTCGTAAGGAAGAAACTCACTAGAAAACAATAGACGTCTGCACTCCTGACCTTCCTTCCCTCCCTCCCTCCTTCCCATCTTACCCTCCTTCCTTCCTTCCTTCTTATCATTACTCCTTAATGCCCACCCTCTCTCCTTTCCTCCCAGCCTCTATTCTTCCTTCTTATCATCCCTCCTTCTTACTCTTCCACCCTTCCATTGTATGCCACACTTCCTTCATTCCTGCTTACTCTCCCACACTGTCTCCCTCCATTTCTCCCTCCTTCTGCTTCTTCTCTTTTCTTCCCACCTTCCTTCTTTCCTCCTACCTCTCTCTCTCTCACCCTCTCCACCCATCTCTCACTTTCTTCTCTCCACTTTCAAGACCTCCCCAGCCTCCTCGCCTCCTTCTCCTCCCTCACTATTCATCAGGTTTCTCATGATTCTCCACTTTCCATCCGTTTCCTTATTAAAATTGGTAAATAATACTGTAAAATACAATTAGATTTACTTCGGTCGGTGAGTGATCCGAGAAAGGAATCCCCGTGTTGCATAACCCCAGCCCCTTGCGCGTTAATGAAAGTGAAAGGAATAGTGCAGTGTGCGGCGCAAGTTGCCAATGCAGTTAAAGTTTAGCGTTGGAGATTTGAAGGGAATCAGGCGAAGTAGCCACACGTTATCACAGCATGAACACTTACCTCCACAAGAACAAAACATGAACACTCACCCCACAAGAACAAAACATGAACACTCACCCTACAAGAACAAAACATGAACACTCACCCCACAAGAACAAAACATGAACACTCACCCTACAAGAACAAAACATGAACACTTACCCCACAAGAACAAAACATGAACACTCACCCACAGAACAAAACATGAACACTCACCACACAAGAACAAAACATGAACACTCACCCACAAGAACAAAACATGAACACTCACCCCACAAGAACAAAACATGAACACTCACCCCACAAGAACAAAACATGAACACTCACCCCACAAGAACAAAACATGAACACTCACCCCACAAGAACAAAACATGAACACTCACCCCACAAGAACAAAACATGAACACTCACCACACAAGAACAAAACATGAACACTCACCCTACAAGAACAAAACATGAACACTCACCCTACAAGAACAAAACATGAACACTTACCCCACAAGAACAAAACATGAACACTCACCCCACAAGAACAAAATATGAACACTCACCACACAAGAACAAAACATGAACACTCACCCACAAGAACAAAACATGAACACTCACCCTACAAGAACAAAACATGAACACTTACCTCCACAAGAACAAAACATGAACACTCACCCCACAAGAACAAAACATGAACACTCACCCTACAAGAACAAAACATGAACACTCACCCTACAAGAACAAAACATGAACACTCACCCTACAAGAACAAAACATGAACACTCACCCTACAAGAACAAAACATGAACACTCACCCCACAAGAACAAAACATGAACACTCACCCTACAAGAACAAAAACATGAACACTTACCTCCACAAGAACAAAACATGAACACTCACCCCACAAGAACAAAACATGAACACTCACCCTACAAGAACAAAACATGAACACTCACCACACAAGAACAAAACATGAACACTCACCCTACAAGAACAAAACATGAACACTCACCCTACAAGAACAAAACATGAACACTCACCCTACAAGAACAAAACATGAACACTCACCACACAAGAACAAAACATGAACACTCACCCTACAAGAACAAAACATGAACACTCACCCTACAAGAACAAAACATGAACACTTACCCCACAAGAACAAAACATGAACACTCACCCACAAGAACAAAACATGAACACTCACCCTACAAGAACAAAACATGAACACTCACCACACAAGAACAAAACATGAACACTCACCCTACAAGAACAAAACATGAACACTCACCCTACAAGAACAAAACATGAACACTTACCTCCACAAGAACAAAACATGAACACTCACCCCACAAGAACAAAACATGAACACTCACCCCACAAGAACAAAACATGAACACTCACCCTACAAGAACAAAACATGAACACTCACCACACAAGAACAAAACATGAACACTCACCCACAAGAACAAAACATGAACACTCACCCCACAAGAACAAAACATGAACACTCACCCCACAAGAACAAAACATGAACACTCACCCTACAAGAACAAAACATGAACACTCACCCCACAAGAACAAAACATGAACACTCACCCACAAGAACAAAACATGAACACTCACCCCACAAGAACAAAACATGAACACTCACCCCACAAGAACAAAACATGAACACTCACCCTACAAGAACAAAACATGAACACTCACCCCACAAGAACAAAACATGAACACTCACCACACAAGAACAAAACATGAACACTCACCCCACAAGAACAAAACATGAACACTCACCCTACAAGAACAAAACATGAACACTCACCCCACAAGAACAAAACATGAACACTCACCACACAAGAACAAAACATGAACACTCACAACACAAGAACAAAACATGAACACTCACCACAACAAGAACAAAACATGAACACTCACCCCACAAGAACAAAACATGAACACTCACCACACAAGAACAAAACATGAACACTCACCACACAAGAACAAAACATGAACACTCACCACACAAGAACAAAACATGAACACTCACCCCACAAGAACAAAACATGAACACTCACCCCACAAGAACAAAACATGAACACTCACCCCACAAGAACAAAACATGAACACTCACCCCACAAGAACAAAACATGAACACTCACCCCACAAGAACAAAACATGAACACTCACCCCACAAGAACAAAACATGAACACTCACCCCACAAGAACAAAACATGAACACTCACCCCATAAGAACAAAACATGAACACTCACCCCATAAGAACAAACATGAAACACTCACCCCACAAAACAAAACATGAACACTCACCCCACAAGAACAAAACATGAACACTCACCCCACAAGAACAAAACATGAACACTCACACTACAAGAACAAAACATGAACACTCACCCTACAAGAACAAAACATGAACACTCACCCTACAAGAACAAAACATGAACACTCACCCCACAAGAACAAAACATGAACACTCACCCCACAAGAACAAAACATGAACACTCACCCTACAAGAACAAAACATGAACACTCACCCCACAAGAACAAAACATGAACACTCACCCTACAAGAACAAAACATGAACACTCACCCTACAAGAACAAAACATGAACACTCACCCCACAAGAACAAAACATGAACACTCACCCCACAAGAACAAAACATGAACACTCACCCCACAAGAACAAAACATGAACACTCACCCCACAAGAACAAAACATGAACACTCACCCTACAAAAACAAAACAGTATGAACACTAACCCCCCCCCAGAACAATTTGAACAGGGTAGAACACTTACCCTCTTGACAAGTTTGAATCTGCCTTTGTTATCATCGTAGCAGAGAATCTTATTGAGGTTCATGGAGTGGAAGACACCCGTCGAGCGTCCTGTCTTCGTTACGTAGAATCTTTCTGTCGAAGATGAAGACAAACTGTGAGATTTAGTGAGAAGAATCCAAATGTTTAGGATTTTAGCGAACACTTGACAAGGCAGGTTAAGTGAAATTTATGGGTTTAGTGAATCTAGTGTGATGAAGGGAAGAGAAGATTGTTGATTTATTGAAGCAGAACGAGAAATTTATGGATTTACGGGGGAGGAAAAATAGAATTTTGTGGATATTAATAACCAATCTGTAGTGGAGGATAAGGTCAGGTAAAGTGCGTCAGGAAATAGGACAAGTGTTTCCTAACGCGGGTCTTAGATGATGACCCGCCGTTGGAGCTTCTGGTCATCTGACAGAGTCCTTCCACTGGCTTATTGGTCCACCCCTTTAAAAATTCTGGTCATAGTTATAACCATTATGGTTTTAATATGACGAACTAAATTAGGGTGTTTTAATGAGGCTCTTGCAATGAAGATTATGAAATATTAGCGTATTTAATAAGTCCAGGTGTGGAATTTAAAAACAAATGCATTGGAGATTAAATGGATCTAACGGTGAAGAGCTATTTGTCAGCAAAAAAAAACAGTGTCTCCTGACACGAGTCTTAACCAAATGATGACCTGTTGTTCCGTTGTTAAACATCCTCTGGCCTACCTCAGCTGGTTTTACACCCTGGTTTAAAAACGAAGGATCAAATAATGTATCCTAAAATGAGATGTTGGAGTCCTTATGGGGACTCTAAAGACAACTTTGTAGACTGAAGGAAGGAAGAGTAATCCAAATGTGGCATATTTACTGAGCAACTTGCCCTGTAAACAGAATGGTAGGTGTTGTAGCTGGGATGTGGCAAGACACTATCAGCGTCTTATCAACTAGCTTTTAAGGTGGTGAATTCCTTTCACGGAAGAAAGGAGTGCTCTGGACAGTACACTCGCTTGTTCTCTTGGAAGAGACGAGGGGCGTTACTCTGAGGGACAGAAGAGGCTGGGGAACGGTAGAAAGGTACTTTCCTGAGAGAGGAAGGGAGAGACTCTTGTTTTGGCAGGTCGTGAGAGACCTGGGCGACCTGTAGTGCTTTACCCAGGGGGAGATCATACTTCATTATAAGTGTCTCTGTTATTTGTCACTTATTTTGGTATCTACGGGTATCTACTGGTCTACTTAATTATCTCGTTATAGTAGTAATATTCCAGTCCAAATGTTAGTTTCCATTTCCAGTAATTATATATGACCATATATTCAGTATTGTTATTAATAAGGTATTGTAAACTGTTATTATTTGGTATATATTCTCTTATTATTTGGTATATATTCGTCCTTACACGATATATCTATGTACGTGGCGAATAAGTGTGTTACACGGGAAGTGGTTTAAGTGGTAAATTAGAGTGCCACCCAGACAAGAGGAAGAGGTGGAATTAAGTGATTTACTAAGAGGCTCGTTCATTTCCCCTGAGTAAGGCTAAGTGGTCAAGCACTCCACTTAAGCAGTGGTTAATTATGAGTTGTATCATGAGGGTGCGAGGCCAACCGCTGCCACCCGGTATGACGTAGCAACTAGGCTTAGGCTTGCGGAAAAAAAAATATTGATAAAAAAAATCTACAGTCAACTGGAATTAAAAACCTAAAGAAAAAATCCTATGTATTTTTGTTGTATAAATTTAAAATAAAACTAGAGTAAACCTCAAAGGTTAATAAACACAATGTTTTAATAATACACGTTTTACAAGATTCTGAAGTAGTTAAATTAAGGTTTTATTAGACTGGAAAAAATTCTCCATGGAAGATTTTCAGGTAAATAGGAAAAAAAAATAATTGCGAAAGGTAATTTTATAAGAAAATGGAATCGGATGACGCAGGAAAGTTTAAGGAAATGAAAGTTAGAGATAATGTGCTAGGGAAATAAGAGGCAACTTTCTTTTTTTTTTTTTTGTAACATTTTCTTCAAACTACCGGATGAGCCAGTTATGTAGGCCTATCCGGATAATCTCAGTGAGGTTTCTACTATTCCTGCTCACGTTCTGAAGATGTAAGATACTAATGTATATATATATATATATATATATATATATATATATATATATATATATATATATATATAAGACGCCAAACAGCCTGGTTGATCTGGGACTGCAAGAGTAAGAGAGAACCTCCGAAATCGGTCACAAGTACCAGCAAATGTCTCAAAAATCAAACGTGAGGTTCAGACGGACTGTACTTTATGCAGTATGAAAGCCACAACAGCTAAGCAATTTGTGGATGCACACAAAAAAATTGAATAGATCTATAAATAAAGACTGATACGTAAATGGCGAAGAGATAAGGAGATTGCTGGAACTTAATTTATTCCGTAGGATTAACGGCGGCCATTCCAGTAGCCCATGCATTATGGAGTCATTGGTATGCGCGATGTCCGTCCTGGGTTAAAAGAGGAGGGATAAACAAACCAGGGACTGTGTTGTCTGAAGCCTAACTGGCTTAAGCTGCAGTATGCGCTCTCTGACTGGCTTAAGCTGCAGTATGCGCTCTCTGACTGGCTTAAGCTGCAGTATACGCTCTCTGACTGGCTTAAGCTGCAGTATACGCTCTCTGACTGGCTTAAGCTGCAGTATGCGCTCTCTGACTGGCTTAAGCTGCAGTATACGCTCTCTGACTGGCTTAAGCTGCAGTATACGCTCTCTGACTGGCTTAAGCTGCAGTATACGCTCTCTGACTGGCTTAAGCTGCAGTATACGCTCTCTGACTGGCTTAAGCTGCAGTATGCGCTCTCTGACTGGCTTAAGCTGCAGTATGCGCTCTCTGACTGGCTTAAGCTGCAGTATGCGCTCTCTGACTGGCTTAAGCTGCAATATGCGCTCTCTGGCTTAAGCTGCAATATGCGCTCTCTGTTTAGTTATATGTCTAGTAGATGGCTTGGGATAGGTAATATTATTTGTCTGGTGTAGTGGATGGTTTGAGAAAGTGTTATAGGTGTCTCTCTTGTGTACTCACATATCTGTGGTTGCAGGGGTCGAATCACAGCTCCTGGCCCGGTGTGTGTGTGTGTGTGTGTGTGTGTGTGTGTGTGTGTGTGTGTACTTCTCTGTGTGATTCAATTCATTATTCAGTCTTTTCCTAATTACCTTCCCAAGCAAACAAGAGGTAAGGTTGTTAATCACATCTGTTAACGAGGCGGCGTCGATCATATGGGCAGTATCATTTATAATCGCGCCGTATATTTTAACGGGAATATTCATTATGCCGTTAAAACGGGATGAGCGGTGCTCCGGCCAGCAAGATATATCCAGTTAGTTAAACAAACAGTTTAAAGAGAACCGATTAAACGAATTGCTTAAATTAGCTGCTTAAGCAATTTTCTAAATGCCTTTATACACAGAAAATGATGCAAGCGAGTCCAGTAATTGGGCTTGTCGAACGGTCCTTTTAAACGAACCACAATAGCGAGTTAAGTGAGAAAATGACACTAGCCATCTATAACGAGTCAATAAAGAATCCCCAGGTGAATTATCTAGTTAAACGAAGTTTTTGAAAAGAGTTAATTAGACAATCTCCATAAAAGCGTCCCATTTAAACCAGGTACTTTAAAACACTCCAGCTAAACCAATCAATTTCAAAGGTGCCAGGCACTTTACAAATTAAACACGGAGGAGGTGACTGCAAGAGCCAGGGAGCGACCCAGATGAGATAATAACGTTGGTGCTGGTGGTGATTTATCTGCAGAGAAACGAGGTCAGATGGTGCTGACGTAGTTCTTGAGATCATCCCCGCTTGTCGATCGGCCTCAAATCAGGCCTCCAGGATCAGGGTCTGGAGTACTTTACAAGCTGACTCCCTAAAGACGGGTAATACCTCCTGAAGACACTTACCACTGGCCAGGCACTCAGTGGGTCAGAAGACAGGGGTGACACTTACCACTAGCCAGGCACTCAGTGAGTCAGGATTAGACACACAAAACGGATAACATTGATATCACACACGCTTTTTTTTTTTTAAATACAATCAATCTCTCTTGTTTTACTACACTGGCAGTTTTTCACCGAATTAAAGTGATCCAAAGAAGGAAACAGTTGACAAGTGCAAGAACTTTCTTCAGGAACCTGAACAAGGAATTATTTAGAACACTGTACATAAAGTAATATACTCGACTCTGCGGTGCCAGCATGGAACCCTCACCAAGGCAAACATGTTAAGAAATTTTGAAACAGATCAGAGGTTTCCCAGTAGACTGGTTGTGGGGCCTGAGTTAAGAGTGCAGAATATAAGAATTTCATGTAACTGGAGCACGAGAGAATCAGAGATCTAATTGCGACATACAAGATACTCAGAGACATAAATGTGAGGGAGCAAAGCGAGGGAATATTGATGGAAGTGCGTAATTAAGCCATATACACATTTCAAAGTGTTTGTCAGTGTGAAAGTAATGAGGTGAAATGCACTATAGAGCCAAGTAGCGGAGAAAGAATGTATCCATGATTTCAGAAGTGTGGTTCTTGTATATCCCAGGACGATACACGGGCACTCTACTTGTCAAATGAATGATGAGACACAGGATCCAGGAGCTGAGGCTCAGAAGAACAGTAACTCACGCATGGATACACGCTCACACACACACAAAAATAAAGGTAGGTAGACCCCAGATTGTTGCCTGTGGAGCAAGCAGCGGGTGATGCCTTCCTTCACCTCGGTGACTCCTTAGTGGAAACAAGTTACTTAATAACAGCCTACGTATGCAAAACTGAGGTTAAAATTAGTCAGTAAGACAATGATCTTACACCTGTACACACACTCTCTCTCTTTCTCTCTCTCTTCCACACGGGAAAGGAAGACTTGCCAGTGCAAAAGGAATGCAGCAGTTGCAATACAAGGCGCCGAATATGCTTCTCATTATCGGATACCCAGCCAGGCGGCGTCTTTATGACTTCACCAGTGATAGCAAGGCGCCTGCTCCCCGCTCTTCTCCTGGGCTTATGTTTCTCCTGGTGTGGTAATGATCACCACACGGTATCAAGGGCAACTCTGCTTTTTAAGCAAAGTAATACCAGGCTTCATTTCATGTCTAACCTTGTTAAGAATATTCTTTGAAACTTACCTACCGTCGTATCAAATCTAATTACCTCACACTACCCAACTGGTATAGGACCCTTACGAGTTTAGTGCTCCATATGACTACACTAATTTTCCTGCTTGAGCTGTAACGTTTGTAATTACCAGTGGAGAGATTTGGTTGTTCTATAATATTTCTAGAAATATTAGAAGTAGCAGTAGAAGTTGTAGTAGCCATTAATAGCAATAGTAGTAGCAGTAACTGTAGCACTAGTACTAGTTACTGCAACCACAGCATCAACCACAGCTTCAGCAACAGCTATCTCTCTCTCTCACTCTCCTCCTTCCTCTATTCTCAACCTTCTCCTTCGCTCTCATTCTCCTCCCTCCTACCTTCCCACTCTCTCTTCCCTTCCTTTCACTCTCTTGGTTGCCACTTCCTCACACCTTTGTTGCCAGGTACGCGAGCCAACCATAAACGATAAGTATTCCACGTGATGGCGTGTAATTGACCGTCATATCTCAGAATTAGCAACTTCCAAACCGCAGTTGTCTGTGGGTGTAACTGTGTACGCGAGCCAGAGCAAGTTTGAGGCGTGAAGAACGGAGGGAGGGAGGGAGAGAGAGAGAGAGAGGAAGAGTTAGACAGAAAGAGAGAGACCTCCTTACAACGAGAGAAAGCTTCAACCACTGAAGATACACTATAAAGAACACGTAAGCAAACATAAGCTAAATAAACACTTAAAATATTCAGGAACACAGCCAGTAAGACGAGAGGCGGAGAATTCAACAAACTAGAAACATTGCTCACACAAACGAATGATGTTTTATAATATATACATATACAATATATATATATATATATATATATATATAATAGTATATATATATATATATATATATATATATATATATATATATATATATATATATATATATATATATATATATATATATATATGCAAAACAACCAATGTGAAAGAATAGAGAAATTCCAAGCGCTTTCGTGACTACTCACATTATCAAGGAACTATGAAGGTAAAGCATCCAAGGAAGGTATATAAGGGGTCTGGCCAACACCTCACTATCAGATCCCACAACGGTTAAACACCTGACGTGCGCCGGCCTGACTGGACAGGTCCTTCGCAAAACCCACCTACAAACTATTCTACCCAAGAAAATTTTAAAAATTATTATTTGTCCAGTGTATTACTAAATTCTTCCCAAATTCTATTAATTATAAATGGATCTAATTTATATAAACCAAAGGAAATATTCATATTATTGTCAAAACTGTTGAGTTTGAAGAAAATAACTCATTGCCTTTTCTAGATGTTTTAATTATTAAGGGTAATAATGAATTCAAATTTAAAATTTACAGAAAACCTACAAATAACTGTTCCTATGTCCACTATTATTCTTCGCATCAAGATAGATTCAAATTGTCTGTTTTCTCATCAATGTTTTTGAGAGCCTTACGAATTTGTAGTCCTGAGTTCATAGATGAGGAAATATCCAAAATTTATGAAATAGGTAATGATTTAAAATACCCAAGAAATGTAATTGATAAATATTTTGAAGTTGCTAGAAATACTTTTTACAATCCAAAAAGGGACAACCAGCCTTATTCAACTAAAAATATGTTGGTTCTCCCTTACCATGAAAACTTGGTTGATATACCTTCTCTTCTTAAGACTTTTAATATTAAAGTTGTATTCAAAAATCTTGATACAGTAAAAAAAACTTTTGATAAAGAATTCCCCCCAAAATGCTGATGGATGTGTCTATAAGATTCCTTGTAAAATTTGCGATAAAGTTTATTACGGTCAAACTGGTAAAAATCTCGAACTAAGATTAAAACAACATAAATATAGCATTAGAACTGGACAAGATTCCAATGCTCTATTTATTCATGTAAGAAATTTTAACCATCCAATTGATTTTCAAAAAGTTGAGAAAGTAGTATCAAGCAAGTCCATGGTCGACAGGAATATAATTGAATCTTGTTTCATAAAAAGCAGTTTTGACAATAATATGAATATTTCCTTTGGTTTATATAAATTAGATCCATTTATAATTAATAGAATTTGGGAAGAATTTAATAATACACTGGACAAATAATAATTTTTAAAATTTTCTTGGGTAGAATAGTTTGTTGGTGGGTTTTGCGAAGGACCTATCCAAGTTGGGTCGGCGCGCGTCAGGTGTTTAACCGTTGTGGGATCTGATAGTGAGGTGTTGGCCAGACCCCTTATATACCTTCCTTGGATGCTTTACTTTCATAGTTCCTTGATAATGTGAGTAGTCTCGAAAGCGCTTGGAATTTCTCTATTCTTTCACAGTGGTTGTTTTGCATATTCTGAAATCACCTGTTTACTGTGATCTTATTGCATATATATATATATATATATATATATATATATATATATATATATATATATATATATATATATATATATTCTCCATGGGGAAGTGGAACAGAATTCTCCCTCCGTTAGCCATGCGTGTTGTAAGAGGCGACTAAAATGCCGGGAGCTAGGGGCTAGTAGCCCCTTCTCCTGTATACATTACTAAATTTAAAAAAAAAACTTTTGTTCTTTTCTTTTCGGGCCATCCTGCCTCGGTGGGATACGGCCGGTGCGTTGAAGAACAAGAAAGATAAATATATATATATATATATATATATATATATATATATATATATATATATATATATATATATATATATATATATATATAATATAGTATATATATATATATATATATATATATATATATATATATATATATATATATATATATATATATATATATATATTAAAAAACAACCACGTCAATAAAAAAAGTGCTTAGCAAATGATAGAGGAGAGGAAGTACTGTGGGAGACAGAGAGATAAGATATAAATAAGTTGTGACATTAAGATAGACATGAAGATGCTACGATATTGGGTACTTACGAAGATGGTCGTCACCGTTGCAGCAGTCAGTGATGTTCTTGCTGTGTCTGAAGGAGAGGCACACGCCGGAGGTGGACGCTGAGGCGAAGAATCTATACCGACTGTTGCTTCCCCCCATTGCTGAGACCTGTTGGGGAGGACATCCGCGTCAGGTGTATGAAACAGACACCATCAGGTGTATGGGTGAGGAGGGGGGGATGGTTAGTGTGGGGGGCTAAGTAGTATGTGCGGGGTTAGCTGTGAGAAACAGAGACAGCGTCAATTGTGTGGGTGAAGGGGCTGGTGTGAGGGATCAGGTGTTATGAGCCAGATACGAAGGATCAGATGACACGTGTGTGACAGCCATGACAACACGTCATGAGAAACACATACTTGGCAAAGATTATCCTAACCTCTGAGATCATGGGAAACTCCTAACCTCTGAGGTCATGAGAAACTCCTGACCTCTGAGATCTTGAGAAACTCCTAAATTCTGAGGACATGAGAAACTCCTGACCTCTGAGATCTTGAGAAACTCCTAAATTCTGAGGTCATGAGAAACTTCTAACCTCTGAGGACATAAGAAACTCCTAACTTCTAAGGTCATGAGAAACTTCTAACCTCTGAGATCATGGGAAACTCCTAACCTCTGAGGTCATGAGAAACTTCTGACCTCTGAGATCTTGAGAAACTCCTAAATTCTGAGGTCATGAGAAACTTCTAACCTCTGAGATCTTGGGAAACTCCTAACTTCTAAGGTCATGAGAAACTTCTAACCTCTGAGATCATGGGAAACTCCTAACCTCTGAGGTCATGAGAAACTTCTGACCTCTGAGATCTTGAGAAACTCCTAAATTCTGAGGTCATGAGAAACTTCTAACCTCTGAGATCTTGGGAAACTCCTAACTTCTAAGGTCATGAGAAACTTCTAACCTCTGAGATCATGGGAAACTCCTAACCTCTGAGGTCATCAGAAACTTCTAACCTCTGAGGACATAAGAAACTCCTAACTTCTGAGGTCATGAGAAAATATTTTTCAAAATTATCCTAATTTCTGTTATATTTACATCCTACAGGACTATAAGAGAAACTAAAACAGAAGAAAATTACCGTAAATTTGGGCCTTCACCTGGACCTCAGCTAGTGGTTGAAATATACACTTTCTCTTGTATCACTGACCAGCGTCTGTTACAATCTTATGTATAAATAGAATTTATATTTGATGGTCAAGATATATGTACAACAGTTGGGTATCTTTATTGTTGAAAGGTTTCGCCTACACAGTAGGCTTCTTCAGTCAAATACAGAGGTGAAATGAAGTGGTGAAATTAAAATAATACAATCAGTCAACCTTGGACTCCAGGCTGAGGGACTGACCACCTCAAATACTTTTTCTCTAAGGTTGATGGACTGATTACATCATCTTCATTTAACCTCTGTATTTGACTGAAGAAACCTACTGTGTAGGCGAAACGTTTCAATAATAAAGGTACCCAACTAGTGCACTTGTGTCTTCATCAACTTGTCGGTATTTTATACTCTTTTCAAGAGAATATATGTTTACATTTGAGTAGTAAATTCTCCAATACAATGACTAAAGCGAATGACAACTCCAAAAAAGTAGAAAGGAAAAGTAGCCAACTTTTTCTGTCCTTCCTGAAGTACCGAAAGATCGTTGTGTTCTCACCTGTATTCTGTTCTATTTTGTGTAAGTTGAACTGAATTATATTCAGGGAATTTATACGTTATCTGTAGTGCATCCCTTCTCTAAGGTATTTGTAATGTATGTAACCCTTTTCTAAGATATCCGTTGTGTAACCCTTGTCTATATCTGTTGTGTAACCCTTGTTTAAGATATCTGTGGTGTAACCTTTATCCACCATATCTGTAATGCAGCCCTTATCTAAGACATTTTCAACTACAAGAATTTTGGAGAAACAATAGACGGCTAAAAGAATAAATCCCTGGCATATATAGATTTATTCGGCACTCTGCACATCGTAGGCCATGTATAAGAGTGCCATAAAGTGTTGACTGCAGAATTGTACACAAAAATCAATAACAATAGATTTTATCGAGATTTATTTTATGTAAGTGCTTCATGTGTGATTACCAGTGTGTCTGGCTGTGGGGTAGACTTAAACTGAGGATTAAGTAGGGGAGTTATAGCAATAATGTACGAGGAAGAAGAAATCACGGAACGGGTGGGACTTGAAGCCGTGGGCAATTGAATCCTGAAACTCACAGGCCGGTGCGTTAACCACAGGCCGGTGCGTCAACCACAGGCCGGTGCGTTAACCACAGGCCGGTGCGTTAACCACAGGCCGGTGCGTTAACCACAGGCCAGTGCGTTAACAACTGGCCTGTGCGTTTGAGGACTCACCTGCCATGGGTTCAAAACCCCACCCGTTCCGTGGTTTGCAATCGTGTTATTACCACGATTTCGTGAGTGGGGAGGAGGACGAGTCTGTGTACTTACCACAAACAGCAGAACCAGCAGAATTATGGCGAGGTATCTCAATCTGTCGGTGAGAGAGACGCTATATTAATATTGTGAAAATTAATAAATATGACAATAATAATAATAATAATAATAATAATAATAATAATAATAATAATAATAATAATAATAATGGTGGTGATGATAATTATGTTAATGAAGATGTTGGTGATACTAATAATTGGTGATAATGATGGTAATGCTGACCGTGATAATATTTATAATGATAATAATTAGGGATGATAATTATCATAAAGGGGGTGATACTGCTAATGATGATGCAAACGAAGATTTCGAAGATAATCAAATGCCTCATCACTTCGTGGGCGACTACTGCGTACTAACCACAAATGCATGTCACGACAGGTGTTGGCTCAGGAGCTCAGGTTAAAGATCAGCTGTCACGTTACGATAAGACACACTCGCTATATTCCTAGCTCTGTCTCCGCTATCACTTCCGCCCATTTCTCACACCGCGAAATATTTCTACGAAAGAGAGGGAGGGGGAGGGGGGAAGCGTAATTTTCCCCGTAGTTTACCTGGAGTTTACCTGGAGAGAGTTTCGGGGGTCAATGCCCCCGCGGCCCGGTCTGTGACCAGGCCTTCCGATTAAGTCCGTAATTCCCAACGTTGTCACTCCAAGCTAGGTATAAGATTTCTGTCTATTACGCTATTTTTTCATGTTTTCCTAGCATTTTTTTTTGGGGGGGGGTAAATTTTACCACTAATATAAAGTGTTATAATATAGATTTGAATGCACTTGTTTATTTAAAAATTAAGTGAACGAGGTGGTAAACAATCTGACATGCTATTAACCGATGCCTGGCCCAAACAACCGAACCTGAGGTAAACAACGCCAGGGAGCCTAGAAAGCAGCTGTCGGTGACTTGACGATCCCAGCCTGAAGTGGCAGAGGTCAATATTGGCACTGTAAACTTGGCCCACCGACAGCCAGCCAGTCAGCCAGCCAGCTAGCTAGCCAACCAGCCAGCCAGCCAGCCAGCCAGCCAGCCAGCCAGCCAGCCAGCCAGCCAGCCAACCAGCCAGCCAGCCAGCTGTCTAGCTAGGCAGGCAATCAGCCAGAGATACACGCTCAGTCATTCAGCTGTTGTAAGAGGAGAGAATGAAGAACTGTAAATGTTAAAAAGAGCAATAGACACATGCAAAAGTAATGCAGGAGACTAGGAAGGCAAGATAAAGATCAGATGGAAAGGTAATAGGAAGGAGAAATGGAAATGTGAGAGAAAGGAGGATTGGTAAGGTAAGAGAAAGATGGAGAGCTGGAAACGGGAGGAAGCAATAAAAAGAATATCTAAGAGAGTGATAAAGAGTGACTGGAAAGGTTCAAAACAGACAGACTAGAGCGGTTAAAGAGGGACTGGAAAGGAGCTGGTGGAGGGCAAGATAGAGAGAAGAGAGATTCTTACATTTGCAGTGCTCCTCTCCTGCCAACTCGTACTCTCTTCCCATCTACATTCCCTGCCCCCCCCCCCTCCTTTCCCTCCTCTTCTTTCCAAAATTGCCTCCTCCAGCAAACTCCACCACATGGTGGAGAATGAGTCTGGAGGAGGCTGAGACCATGAAGACCCTCCACCATCACCAACACCACCATCACCAACACCACCATCACCACCGCCACTCCTCTACAAGAACCACTACCACCATCACCAACACCATCATCACCACCACTACTCCTCTACAAGACCCACCATCACCACCACTACCTTCACCCTCCTACATCATCATCCACCACTAGCCTCACCCACTTACAACAACTACCACAATTGCTCTATATTCACACGTTCATTTTGGAACTTGCAGGGAAGATATAAATTAATAAAAGCTAGATGCGCCATTATTCAAAAGTTTGAAACCTATCAGAAGAGGCTTTTCCAAGTTATCACCTGGAAACGAACACCAAAAACGGTCCCATCATAACAATAACCAGAGGAAACCTGCACCTGCCAATAGCTGCACCAGCTTTTCCCTAGTTACACTAAACCTCGTTGAAAATTTATAGCCGACCGGATCAAACGTTCTCGCGTTATACACGAAAATCTTGGAAGAAGCACTTAAAGGTCTCTTCCCCTTCAGGGATATCTAAAATATAAATTAAATGGATATAAATAAAATGGTGAAAATATCATCCCAAAAAAGAACTTGCAACAATGATACACATTTGATAAATCTAGACTAAAAAAGGATGTGGAGAGACATTAATTTTGTGAATAAATTTGTAGACGAGGGAACAAACTGCTGAGCCTCGTCACTGAAGCAAATAATTCTGAAAGTTTTAAAGTATGTTTGCTAGACACAGTATGAAGGTGTCACCAGGAGCGGCCCCGCATGAACCAGCACAAGTGATGCTTCACTTATCTTTACGGAGTAATAATCGTTATAGATTCAATACAGATTATCTTTTTCCGCTTCGTCTAATTCCCTTCTCTATCTCCTTTATTTCAAAATTTTGATTCGCCATCTTTTTCCCATTATTTTCCTTTTTTTCCACCCTCTCTATCCTTCCTGCCTCCTCTCTTCCCTAGCATCCTTCCGCCAGTGGTTGACCATATCCTCATCGCCTCCCTTCACTGAAATCTTTCAGCACAGATTGACAGATTTCATTATCTGATGTAATAAACCCATCCTATGTGATGGAGTAGGTCAGGGAAACATAGCTAACTTTTTGGCACATCACTGCTCATGTACCCAGTTCTGATTAATAAATTCCTTCTCGCGTCCTTCATTTACCTATGGTTTAATAGTTCAGAATTTATATTATGTTTAAAATAAAAGTGACGAAAAAGTAGGATATCTATTCAGCTGATATAAAAAAAATTGGGGAAGGGACAGGTAAGTTATATTTCTTGTAGCTTTCGCAGATTTATAACCCTTGAGAGGAGTCACTATGTTGAGGTATGACCTACTTGTCACTCATCCCGGGAGAACAGTGAATTGTTCGAACACCAGCTGTTGGGTTGTTTGTTCCTCCTCCTCTGACCACATCCCGAAGTTCTTGCAGAAATCTCTCTCTCTCTCTGGTGTCGATGCAGCACCAGGAGCAACAGTGGTAAGGGTAACGATGGTGTGGCTCTGGTGAGGCAGCAGCAGGAGCAACAGTGGTAGAGATAACTATGGTGTGGCTCTGGTGAGGTCCTCCTGGTGTCGAGGCAGCAGCAGGAACATTAGTGGTAGAGGCAACGATGGTGTGCCTTTGGAGTCGAGGCAATAACAGGAACAACTGTGGTAAAGGTAACGACGGTATTGCTCTGGTGAGGTCTTCTCTCTGGCTGTTATTAGCTTAATTGTCAGGAAAAAATCTTGATATGACTCAAAAACTCCTTAACTCAAAGGTTCCTTAAGAACGTTGTGATTATTAGTGGCACCGGAGCAGCAGTAGTAGAGGGTATCAATGATGTAAACAGGAGCAGTAGAAAGGTAATCAGGTGGTGATATCAGGAACAGCCTCGGCAGTACGGAGATCCACAACCTGGAGCTTATCAAACATTGAATTACACGATGTTTTGTTAAGTGTTGGTCTTGTGCCAAGTGTGACTACCAGTCAATAAAGATCTTCCCAAGTTAGTAACAATAATGATTAAAAAAAGACTATCACACTATCAAGAGATATAAAACCCACCAATGAAACGCCACTTTTCATCCAAGAAATATTTCCGCTGAGGGATCACTGATCAGTGCTATCGTAACAGCTACTGAGGACAAGCTACTGAGGCGAACCTTTATATATCAACTGGAGGTAGAGGAATGTTATCTGTAACGCCCACACAATAACCCCCTCAGAAGAAACGGATGAGATAAAGATTTTGTCAGAAATAGATGGCGAGCGGATGGGGTCTCCTTGACGAGCCAAATACAGTACTTTAAACTGAGCAGTAAAGTATAGGCAAGAAATTACATAAAGCCGTGAAGCCAAATGGGAACCTCCGAGGGTAAACAGAAAGCCTTGGCAAGAAATATGGCGACGGCTAAAAACTGTAAATACGAAAAGAATATAAAGATTCCAATATCTAAAATTATCCTTCCCCCAGTTCCACTTCCCCCACCGTGACCCCTGCAGAGACAACGTCTCACCACCGCCTTAGAAATTGCCGAAGATAAGGGCAGATGCTGCAGAACGTTTCACAGTGTTTTGAATTAGGCAATAATGCTGCGCCAGATAGTCATAATGTTGCAGACAAGGACGCAATCATTGCAGAGGTTGTCTTCCACTTACGGTAGCCACAGCGACTGATAATAATTTTATCAAATAATTGACAGCTAGATGATACAACGCACGTGCGCACGGCGTATGGACGGAAGTGCCTGTGTATTTTCACCTACTTGTACTCGCCTAGTTATACTTGCCTTGATGTGATTGTGAAGTCGATTCTAACCTTCTGGCCCTGTCTTTCAGCTACACAAGAACGGTGACGATCTGATCCTGGTCTCCTGTGCCCTACCATCCCGACTCTGATATCGTGTACACATTCTGCTTCCAACACTTCCTCCAGATCCTTGGCCTTCTTTACCAGCCTCAGACTGGTATATTTCATGGTGTCCCTGTGATCATTTGTCTTTAGCTAATGTCAGTACTACTACCTCACGAAACACTGATCAAGCTATATCTATGTTCTGCTAAGTGCCTGCTGAAATTCAAGGCAAAGTTATGAGGATGGGATCAGGAGTTGAGAAGTCAGAGGAGCACCATCTGAGAGGGAGGCTAGAGCAAGAGTACCACCTGAGAGGGAAGAAACTCCTACAATCGGACAGAAAACTAGAGCTATGAGATTCCATCACACCAGACCTCTTGCCTGGGGCGGACACGAACAGTACAGCATAAAAATTTTGAACAGAGAGGCGTTTAGTTCACGGTACATCACGGCAGTGTTAGAGCACGTGGAACCAGCAGAAACCCTCATCATACGTTACAAGAAAACTGAAAAAAATAGTAATTTGCTACAAGATTGCCCCGAGAATTGTAAGAGCTAAACTTGTGAGAGCTAAACTTGTGAGAGCTAAACTGGTGAGAGGCGTTAGACTGTGCGTCAATGTAGATGACTGGAAAGTCAATGAAGACATCTCAATCAATAAGAAACAAAGTAGACAGAATATTTGAGATAGTGTGACATGGGACAACACAAAGCGAGGGGGCGTGGCTGAAAAATATACATTTGAATATGAGAAAGGGATATGGAGAAGGATTCCTACAGTGAGGTTAGTGAACATATTGAATGAATTAGGGAGAGATGTAGTGAAAATCAACGCATTGCAAGAATTTATTTGGAGTTTGTGTTCTGATATAATAAAAATAATAATAATAATAATAATAATAATAATAATAATAATAATAATAATAATGATAATAGTAATAATAATAATAATAATAATAATAATAATAATATTATTATTATTATTATTATTATTATTATTATTATTATTGCAATGCACGAATTCGTAAGTAGATACAGACCTTAGTGAACACACACACACACACACACACACACACACACACACACACACACACACACACACACACATAACACCAGGCACATCTCCTGAAGCGCACATCAACCAAATAACTGCTGCAGCATATGGGCGCCTAGCAAACCTCAGAACAGCATTCCGACATCTTAATAAGGAATCATTCAGGACCCTGTACACCGTGTACGTTAGGCCCATATTGGAGTATGCGGCACCAGTTTGGAACCCACACCTAGCCAAGCACGTAAAGAAACTAGAGAAAGTGCAAAGGTTTGCAACAAGACTAGTCCCAGAGCTAAGAGGTGTGTCCTACGAGGAGAGGTTAAGGGAAATCAACCTGACGACACTGGAGGACAGGAGAGATAGGGGGGACATGATAACGACATACAAAAGACTGAGAGGAATTGACAAGGTGGACAAAGACAGGATGTTCCAGAGATGGGACACAGCAACAAGGGGACACAGTTGGAAGTTGAAGACACAGATGAATCACAGGGATGTTAGGAAGTATTTCTTCAGCCACAGAGTAGTCAGGAAGTGGAATAGTTTGGGAAGAGATGTAGTGGAGGCAGGATCCATACATAGCTTTAAGCAGAGGTACGATAAAGCTCATGGTTCAGGGAGAGTGACCTAGTGGCGACCAGTGATGAGGCGGGGCCAGGAGCTTGGACTCGACCCCTGCAACCTCAACTAGGTGAGTACAACTAGGTGAGTACACACACACATCAGGAGGAAGAAAACAGTCAAAGACCAGGTGATCAGACTGAGGACAGAAGGTGGAGAGCTCACAAGAAATGATCAGGAGGTATGTGAGGAGCTAAACAGGAGATATAAGGAAGTTTTTACAGTAGAGACAGGAAGGGCTCTGGGAAGCCAGCACAGAAGGGAACATCAAGAGGGAATAAACCAACAAGTGTTGGATGACATACGAACAACCGAGGAGGAGGTGCAGAAACTGCTAAGTGACCTTGATACCTCAAAGGCGATGGGACCGGACAACATCTCCCCGTGGGTCCTTAGAGAAGGAGCAGAGATGCTGTGCATGCCCCTAACCACAATCTTCAACACATCCCTTGAAACTGGGCAACTACCTGAGAAATGGAAGACAGCAAATGTAGTCCCCATATTTAAGAAAGAAAACAGAAATGAGGCACTAAACTACAGACCTGTGTCTCTGACATGTATTGTGTGCAAAGTCATGGAGAAGATTATCAGGAGGAGAGTGGTGGAACACCTGGAACAGAACAAGATTATAAATGAAAACCAGCATGGGTTCATGGAAGGCAAATCTTGTGTCACAAACCTTCTGGAGTTTTATGACAAGGTAACATAAGTAAGACACGAGAGAGAGGGATGGGTTGATTGCATTTTCCTTGACTGCAGGAAGGTCTTTGACACAGTTCCCCACAAGAGATTAGTGCAGAAGCTGGAGGATCAGGCGCATATAACAGGGAGGGCACTGCAAAGGATCAGGGAATACCTGACAGGGAGGCAACAACGAGTCATGGTACGTGAAGAGGTATCACAGTGGGCGCCTGTGACGAGCGGGGTCCCACAGGGGTCAGTTCTAGAACCAGTGCTATTTTTGATATATGCGAACGACATGATGGAAGGAATAGACTCTGAAGTGTCCCTATTCGCAGATGATGTGAAGTTGATGAGAGGAATTAAATCGGATGAGGATGAGGCAGGACTGCAAAGAGACCTGGACAGGCTGGACATGTGGTCCAGAAACTGGCTTCTCGAATTCAACCCTGCCAAATGCAAAGTCATGAAGATTGAGAAGGGGCAAAGAAGACCGCAGACAGAGTATAGGCTAGGTGGACAAAGACTACAGACCTCACTCAGGGAGAAAGACCTCGGGGTGACCATAACACCGAGCACGTCACCGGAGGCACACATCAACGAAATAACTGCTGCAGCATACGGGCGCCTGGCAAACCTGAGAATAGCGTTCCGATACCTTAATAAGGAATCGTTCAAGACACTGTACAATGTGTATGTTAGGCCCATACTGGAGTATGCAGCACCAGTCTGGAACCCACACCTGGTCAAGCACGTCAAAAAGTTAGAGAAAGTACAAAGGTTTGCAACAAGGCTAGTCCCAGAGCTCAGGGGAATGTCGTACGAGGAAATGTTGAGGGAAATCGGACTGACGACACTGGAGGACAGAAGGGTCAGGGGTGACATGATAACGACATACAAGATACTGCGGGGAATAGACAAGGTGGACAGAGATAGGATGTTCCAGAGAGGGGACACAGAAACAAGGGGTCACAACTGGAAGCTGAAGACTCACACGAGCCACAGGGACGTTAGGAAGTATTTCTTCAGTCATAGAGTCATCAGGAAGTGGAATAGCCTAGCAAGTGAAGTAGTGGAGGCAGGAACCATACATAGTTTTAAGAAGAGGTATGACAAAGCTCAGGAAGCAGAGAGGGAGAGGACCTAGTAGCGATCAGTGAAGAGGCGGGGCCAGGAGCTAAGTATCGACCCCTGCAGATACAATTAGGTGAGTACACACACACACGGATGTGAGCTCTCGTGTCCTCTGGGTCCAAGAGATAGTAGAAGAATGCTAGTCTATATATAGTGAGGCAACTCTGTGTTGTATTTTCCCCCTTATCTACCACCTACCAGGCCTCCACACCACCCTACCAGGCCTCCACACCACCCTACCCGCACCTCCACACCACCATACCAGGCCTCCACACTACCCTACCCGCACCTCCACACCACCCTACCCGCACCTCCACACCACCCTACCCGCACCTCCACACCACCACCCTGCCCGCACCTCCACACCACCCTCCCCGCACCTCCACACCACCCTACCCGCACCTCCACACCACCCTACCCGCACCTCCACACCACCCTACCCGCACCTCCACACCACCCTACCCGCACCTCCACACCACCCTACCCGCACCTCCACACCACCCTACCCGCACCTCCACACCACCCTACCCGCACCTCCACACCACATTACCCGCACCTCCACACCACCCTACCGCACCTCCACACCACCCTACCCGCACCTCCACACCACCTTACCCGCACCTCCACACCACCCTACCAGCACCTCCACACCCCCCTACCCGCACCTCCACACCACCCTACCCGCACCTCCACACCACCCTACCCGCACCT